TCTGCGTTTTAACGAACTTTCAAGTGTTTTTCTCCGTTTTTCAGATATTAACGTCGAATAGCGCATGAAAGTCCGTTAAAACGCCGATTTTTAACGCGTTTTTACGGACAAAAAGGTGACGTTAATTTTCGTTAAATCGTCAATTTAACGATCATTTTTACATGGGCAGTCAGAATTTCTACATGCGGTAATACGGTCCAAATATAGAAATCTTCGATCCGTATCTACACTGTTTACTGCCGTAAAGTTATATTTATTTTCTACTATTCACTGCCTGAGAACGGACAGTAAATGTTATCTGGTTTGATCAAGCTGAAATAAGATGCTACTTTTCTGGAGTTTTACATCATTCAAAAAATTTTTCAATCTTATCAGTAACTTGCAGAAGACGAATGTAAGTACTTACAACTGGAACGTGAAGGATCAATTAAACTAGTTTTACTTTAGCTATTCATATTTATATTCTTTATTGCGTGTATGTACTTCTTCACGCATATATTCGACCAACCTAATCATGATTCTTTCGTTTCAAGTGGAAAGCAAATATTTCTATCGGATATTTACGATCTAGTTGCTTACATTCGTTAACCAAACTTAATATATTATGTTAATAAATCAACTACACTGGAAGGTATGAAATAAGATTCATATTTAAGACTTCGTATTCATGTGCATTTAAGCATTTCTAATCATTATCCACGTATGAATGAAGAAAGTCAGCATTATCTCCGCATTTTAATATTCACCTTTCTATAGGTAGAGTTCTGCAATCCAACCCGACCCGCGTATAGATGCGGGTTCAAAATTGGCGGCTCTGATGGAGTTTGGTTTAGGTTGAGCACCTGAGGGTGTAAGTGCGGATGTTGGTGTGGGTGCATCAATCCTCTCTTCCAATACCAACACCCACACTCACACCCACACCCACTCACACCCACACACCCACACCCACACCCTCACCCACACCCTCACCCACACCCACACCCACACCCACACCCACACCCACACCCACACCC